TTTTTGCTGTTAGATTTTGATGCCTCCAATTTATAGGTTGCAACTAGTGCAGCCCTCTTGGTAGCAACCTTTCTTTTTCTTTTTCAGGACGTAGGCGATCATGGCTCTCTACCTCCCTCTATCCCTTGTAGCTCCCAACAAGTTCCTACCCTCTGCTTCCTCCCCCAGGCCATGTTCTGTCATCCACTTGCTTAAGTTCGCCAGGTATGTCAAGCGTTGTTTTCCCTTGTCTCTCTTTCCTTCAAATCGACCCGTGAGTATCAGATTCTCCAGGCCCTCTTTCCTCATTATGTGTCTCAGAAACTTAAGTTTTCTCTTCCTGATATTAAGTATAAGCCTCCTACTTGTTCGCAACCTCTCTAACACCTCATCGTTGCTCACACGCTCGGGCCATGTTATCCTTAGCATCCTTCTGTAGAACCACATATCTGTCGCCTCGAGTCTCTTCTTCATCTTTGAGGAAATCATCCAACATTCGCCGCTGTACAGTCTTTAATTGTTAGTCCTTTCTTCTCACTTTGCTTTACTAACTTATCAAGTCGTTTCTGCAGTTTTCTTTCTTTGTTCACCATTAACAGTACGTTATGTTATTTAAGGTTTGTTCCCACTAAATATTCTGGATTATTCTAATATATTTGCCTAATAAATCAAGTTTCTCTGGTAGTTCAAATAAATCTTTGTGCCGTACATTATCAAATGCTTTTGAGTTACCCAATTTTGAAAGAGTATTTTATCAATAACCATCATCAACTCAGTACTGAAAATGGAAATCCAGAGGTCTTCAGCGTCAGTCTTGTATTCTTTATCAACGTTACATCATAAGTGTAATTATTAATACAAGGTTATCGAGCATTGGCTGCTTGCGTTCAGTATTCAATAGTCCATGGAAAGGTTGCATATCAGTTAACCCTGTGTCACTTCAGCCTCGTAACTCTTCGCCCCGCATATATTCCCATCCCGTCTTCACTTCCTCTACATGCATACACCACCGAGCGGAACGCACCTCCTTACAACGCGTAAGCTGCATACTTCAAGTCTAAGCCTTCAGTAAATGAACGCGATATTATTATAGGAATATATTACTTTTCAAGTCAATGGCCTCTTATAGCTTTCGCTGGGGATCCAATGATAGCAAGCCTCTTCATAAGTTAAGTAGTATTCATACCAGTTTCAACAATGCTGATGCGCAGTAATAGTTTCAAGGTCTCGGATGTCTAGCTGTTTAAGTCTTTTACAAGGATCTTCAGGTTCGTTTCAGACATTCCGGTAATTATGGATATTATCGTCATCTTCATATTAAACACGTCTTGGTTTTCTAGGAAGGTCTTGCGTTTTATTATTAACACTCAATTCGTTTACGCGTCCCTTTAAGATATTAGGAAATAAAGGAACATTAAATGTAAGACAAGGATGTATGATCGCCAGTTAAAAAAGAAAAAAGGCAGCTGAATTTGTGACCTCCGTATTTGGGAGGTTAAAATCAAGCAGGTAAATCAATAAACAAATCTAGTTACTTTATTAACAGACGACATTCCAAATTTTATATACCTTTCTATATTTTATTACTAAACGTTACTTTTAATGAATACCAATATTTAAGTACATGCTCCGTTTATTTATTAGCCACATTACAATAGCGAAAGATGCCTTCCAAAAGCTAAGCATAGTATTAAGAGATAGGGCATTTTCGTTATAAATAAAGAAAAGATTGCTGAAATGCCATGAAATATCAGTCTAATGGCAGTAAATATTGAACAATATATTCATATCCTGTTCTGTACCACCACCGAAGTTAAGCAACGTTGAGCCTAGTCAAAACCTAGATGGGTGGCCCCTAGAGAATACCAGATGCTGTAAACTTGGATGTGCGGGTGGTGTAATGGATAATGACTTATAATTGTTAATCAGAGAACTGAGTTCTAATTTCAGTTGGGTTCGTTATATTCACTTACGTGCAAATACACTTGGAAAAGGTACGAATCCACTTCTTCTCCCTCCCCACCCCCGGGGCTGCGGGTTAACTAGTAAGACATGTATCACTACATCTTTATTATATCTTAAAAAAAAAGCATTCTTACAATCTAAAAATATTTTCTGACTTCAAATAATCTGCAAAAGGTTGATAAGCCATAAAAATTAAATCACTATCTTATATGAAGAAACTAGAAGCGATATAGTTGTGGTTCTTATGTTGAATTCTGAGAATATTATGAACAGAATATGTGAACAACGAGGACGTTTTAAAGAAAACAGGATCTCGTACTTACTCTCGGAAATAAACAACTAAAAGCCCTATCATATATTAAGGAAAGTGGGACTGGAGAATGTAACACTCACAGGACATAATGAAAGCAATAGAAGGAGGACAAACAGGGAGTTGATGAGATTTTTTGAATGGTGGCAGGACGAGGACAAAGAGCAATAAAAGGTAAGAAGTTAGGGAGAGCTATAATCGCCCGCCACCTAACATAATACTTCAGCACAGTCAGCATTAACGCTGTAATCTGATTGGCTTCAATTTTTTCTACAATTTCTAAGATTTCCCAGTCTCTTCGAAACTGTTCCAGGCACTCTAATAATGATGGGTATAATTATCCTTTTCATATTCCAGAATTATTTTTCAGTTCTATCTCGTGTTTCAAATAATTTTTTCTAGCTTTTGTCTCTCAGTTTTACTTTGCGGTCTGCTAAAGTTGTTACATTCAGGATATGACAGATCTGTTCTTTATTTTAAATGATTTGATCTAGTTTTGGGGCCTGGGTGAAGGGATTCGTTTGTATTTCATAATCTCGATGGCATTTACATTTTTTTTTCTGTTTTGAAGGACAGACTCTGACTTGTGCGTACAGAATTTGTTTGTATCGGTTGACCCCGAATCGTTGACATAATTCCCATGTAACCACCGTTCCTTTCCTTCAATAGTAAAAATTTACCGTTTAAACTTTTTTCTCTACATTTGCAAAATTTAGCTGTCTTTCTTTGCTTTAATAAACGAGTTTTTTTTTTTTTTTTCGTTTCAAGTGTCCATTTTTCGTTTCTAGTTTTTGAGGTATCCGTTTGTTACAATTATAGTCTTCGTTGTCTCATGTATATTCGACCAGACCTTTCATAATGTAGAGTGTTCTTCTTTCGTTTCTCTTCCCCCTATACTCTTGATAGCACTTTCGGTCGAGTAGAACTTTATCCATAACTATTCATTTTCTAGTGCTTTCATCTATGGATTCCAGTTATTTGTAGTTAAAAAATGTTCTGTATATCAAATGCTCTTAAATTCAGGTTTAATTAATTGATCATATAATAATACTTTATTGCAGACAATGATATTATTTGTCTTTAGTTTTTACCAATTAGTTATCTGGTGTTTTAAGAATTCTTTTTTAATTTGCTTTTTATAGAATTTTCTGTGGGTATATTACAGACGAAAGTTAAACAAACGAAAATACATATACAGTTTAATTATAAAAACAACTGGTATTAAGCAAAGTCAAGCCAGGTTAGTACTTAGATGGGTGACCGCCTGGGAATACCATTCAAAAAACCTCATCAACTCGCTGTTTGACATGCTTCTGTTGCTTTCATTATGTCCTGTGAGTTTTACATTCTTCTGTCCTTTTTTCCTCAATATATGTTACAGGAATATTAGTTGTTTATTTCCGAAAGTTAAGTACTAGACCTCATTTTCTCGTTGCTCACATATTCTGTCCATAATATTCTACTTGTATTTGCGGGTGTTGTAATGAAAAATGGCTTAGAAATAGAACTCGGCTCTCCGATTTTCAACTTCAAGCCTTTAGGTTTTATTCAGGTTTCTTGGTTTGTGGTTTTTTTTATGATGATGTTCACCCTATACAAGGCCACACAAGATAGAGGGTTTCAGGGTAACAGATAGGGTTTATGCGGATATCCAGGGAAGAAAACGGTTAGCTCTAGACTTGAACAGGTTAAAATATTAGCAGAAATACAATGTTGTAAAAAAATATTACCAGCAATAAATCTTGTCGGCATTAAATAACACATTAAGGTCGATATGCCGTAAAAAAAATAAACATCCAAACAGACACGTAACTATCTGGCAAATGTTATAACAAACAATTGAAAATGTGACACTCAAATCCAAAGCAAATGGAATAGCAAAAAGGGCCTTCCAAAAGCTAAAACAAATATTAAGAAACGGTAAAATTTAGTTAAAAGCAAAGCGCTGAACTACTATGCAATATCAATCCTCCTATCGAATGCTGGATAATTTCCCCAGAGATTAAAAGGAAATTTGAAGTAAAAGAGATGAGGTTATGCAGAAGGATGGTGAGAATACCATGGACGGAACATGTCAGAAACAAGCGTTTTAAAGAAAAGAGGAATAAAAAGGACACTTATACGTAGAATGAGAAAGTGACTATTGATATTTCTGTGAAACATAATGGGGAAAGAACTGTAAAAAAATTGACACTCACAGGACGCTGAAGGCTACATATGAAGAGGGAAACAGTGTAACCTATCAAACGAACTATTGCAAATGGCTGCCAAAACCGGTACTGGGGTGTGTGTGGAGAGGACAAATATTGCTTAGAGCTACAAAGGATAGTAAGTTTTTCATCGCCCACGTCCTGAAATGACCTGTCACACAAAAGATATACTCAGCAAGATATCGATTTAAAATGTTCCTAGTCAAAACAATAACATTATAGATATATAATTAGTGACTCTGATTTCATTTAAAATATTTCTTTTTTACATTAGTATTGCTTTACCTTGTTTCATCCATTTAAGGTTCCATTACTTTCATCAAGAAGTTAGCGATGTGAGTTATTATGATTGTTGTTTTTCTAATTATTTGTGTTTATTAATATCACTCTTCGCACAATAGATTTCTGATGTTTACAGCTGAGAAGCAAATGAAACTCTCTTCAAATCTCCAACGCTTTATTTGGTGGTGGTGGTGGTGGTGGTGCTGCTGTTACTCCTTTTTTTTATCCTTTCCATTATCATTATAGGAAAGATTATGTACTTTATTGCTTCGTCTCTGGATTATTTACTTTCTCTTTCCTTTTTAATGATATTTATTGCTGATACTGTTCTAGTTGTTGTTATTCTCCTTCCTTCCTTTCTCTCTCTCTCTCTCTCTCTCTCTTCTTCCTTTTCTCCCCTTCCTTCTCTCTTCTTCTTTTTCTGTCTCCTCCTCATTTCCCCTCTCTCCACCTCATTTCTCTCTCCCCCTCCTCATTTCTTTCTCTTCATCTCCTTTCTCTTCCTCTTTCTTCCTCTCCTTCTCCTACTTTCTCTCTCTCCGCCTCCTCCTATTTTCTCTCTCTCTTCTCTCTACTTTCTTTCTCTCCTCCCTCTACTTTCTCTCACCTGTTCATCCTCTTTTTTCTCCTACTCCTCTCTCTTTCTCTCCACCTCCTCCTACTTCTTTTTCCCTTGCTCTTTTCTCTCTCCTCATTATTCTCTCTCTCTTCTTATCCTTTCCTTCCCTCTCTCCTCCTTTCTTTCTCTGTCTCTTCTCCTTTTGCGCGCACTCACTCTCTCTCTCTCTTTCTTTTTCTTCTCCTTTCGCGCTCACTTCCTTCCTCCTCCTATTTTCTCACCTCCTCCTCTCTCTCCTTCTTCTCTATCTCCTACATTCTCTTTCCTACTTCTACTCCTCTTTTCTTCCTGATCATCCTCCTCCTTTCTCTACTGCTCCTTTGCTTTCCTAATCTTTTAATAGTTTAAAAAATCGTCATAGCATCATCCCTTGCAATAAATAATATCGTTATTAAATGTGGTGCTGGTAACGAATACAAAGCCTGCAATACCAACCAAGTAATTGTCGTTTTTATCTTGGGATTTAGGAATTAATTACCCGTCTTTTTTGTTCTTTCATTTGTTTATTTTTTTTACGATATAAAAAAATCTTATACGAGAGACGTTTCCAAAATAATACTTCCTATTTAATTTCACGGAAATGACAACAGATTCAGGGAAGACAATAGTGTCATTGCACAGAGCGATTTTTCAGCAACAAAACACTATTTTTACCGAATAATCCACACCTTAGTCTCTGCACTTATGCGTGTGATTAATAAACTTGTCATGCGCATCGTTGTCGATCGGCACTTCAGAAGCACATTATCCCCTAACTGTGCTCACAACCACTGTTTCATCTCTGTTTTTGATTTCGTCATTTAACAGATGTTCAGTAATGCTCGGAACGTACCTTGTCACATATATCACTGTCACCATTTCTGAAACGCATTACCCACTGCCTGTGTTCACATCCTAGTTTTGTTTCCCATAACCGTTCACCAAGGGGGGACGAAAGTCAATACCTACATTTTTTTTCTTGCCTGGAAGAATTCTATTTCATACCTCTGCTTCGTACAAACGTCAGAGGCCATTTTTTTTAACAGCCTCTCCGTTGCTATCTATAACAAGATAAAGGAAAAAAATATGGGTTATGGCTAAAATAATCAACGTCTACTGCCAACATATGCCCCTGACACTGTGAATCAAAATAATAAAACAAGAAACATTAATTTTGTAGTAACCTCTTTTTCTTTCATGTGAATTTTTTTTAAGTTTTAGAAAATTTCGTATAGGTTAGAAGATTTATTCTTTATTTTGCTTTTCAGCAAATTATCCGTGGATATATTACAGACAAAGGCTAAACAAATAAACATACGTGTGAAATTTAATAATAAAACTGATTAATCCTTTATAATTATATCTTAATGTTTGTAATGATTTTCTTCCATTAAAATTTAAATGAATGCTGTGACTGTGCTGTTTACGCTTGTAAAAGAAAAAAAATATAAAAAAATTTAAAAAGAAAAATGCTCAGAATTTTCCAATGCTTTCAAAATGGAGACGTATTTTTTCTCAAATTAAAATATGTTCATTTGCTCGTAAAACATTTTTTATTATTGAGGCAAAGCGCATCGAAGCATTGTACACGAAAATTTTAAACTATAAAATAGTGAAATATATTAAAAAGTTAATTTTTCAAAAAAAAAAAGCATGCTTAAGCACCAAACACACACCAAGACATAATGAGATTTTAATTCGCATAATGACAAATGTAAAACTGAAGGAAACGCAATTGCCGTTGTGAGAATTCGGAATAATTCGTAAGAAAAGTGATAAAGCTTTTGTCAGATGTGTATGATTGTCAATGTGTATATTTGTTTTCATCTGCCAAAACAATTACTCCCACTATTATTTATCTCTGATTAACTTGCATGAACTCAAGGGACAATAAAAAAAACACGAACATACAGTGACAAGATGGGTGACTTTGCAATTGTAATTTTTCGACCAAATACGACCACACATATTCAAACCTGAAGAGTACTGGTTTAATTCTAATTACTAACAATGATAACTGATCTTGCGCAGGCCAAGTTCTTTTCTTTTGCATTTTGTTCGCTTAGGAATACCAGGTGCTGTAAGCTTGAATGTACGGGTAGTTTATAGATAAAGGCTCGGAATTGTAAATTGGAGGGCCGAGTTCCAATTCCAGTTGAGTTCATTATATTCACTTACGCGTAAATACCCATTTATGAGTTAATTAAAGACTTGAATCATTATTGCTTCAAAAAATATGTTTACAATCTAAAAATATGTTTACAATCTAAAAATATTTTCGGCTTTAAATAACCTGCAAAGGGCCGATAAACAGTAAAAAACGAATCAATCAAGCAAGCAGGCAACGAATTTGCTTTGCTGCACTACACAATCGATTCACTGTGAGATTTTCGAAATGAAAAAGAAAGTATGACCGTTGTTTTTTTTTCTTTTTCGATTAAGTCTCTTCCCAAAGATGCGAGTTTGAATGTTGTTGCAAATTAATGTTCGAAGTTTTGAATAGAAACATACATATTTGATACTTATTAATCCTTACCATCATCAGTCCTATGACTGGGTGTGGTTGTAGGGTCATTACGCAGATGGGCACCTGACCAATTCCCACTTGTCTCAGTAGGTATTCATTCACACATAGCGTGTCTTGGGCAAAGTAGACATGGCTGAGACCCCCTCCTCTCCAGACTGGACCGTCTATTTAAAGGCTCGCCTTGGTCATGGACATGTGGCCGATGATTCCATCGGAGAAAAACTCCAACCTAGCCGTTGATTTCAGTGTAGGAAGTCTTCGTCCAGTGATGCCATATCATCATCACCTCCTTGTGGGGAGGGCAGTACATCAGTTATATTTTTTATTAATAATTTATTTGGCATTTTAAAACGTCATAAAGTAAATTAACATTTTCCATTCAAGCCCTTTTTGTTTTATTTTTTTAACACTGCGTCTTTTCATGACGTAAACGACCATGGCCCTCCACGAATTTGTGTTTATTAACAATGAATTGTCATGTATTTTCGGAAAAGACAGTTTGTTTACAGTTGGCTTCTCCACAGTTTTAAATTAAGTTTTCCTTCTCTTAGCCTGCTTGCTGCTCAACACTACACAATCCATACTACCTTGTTATTTAACCCATAGCTGGTGTGTAAAGAGCCTTTGGGCGAAATTGAATGCATGACTCGCCCGGTTGCAATTTGAACGAGTTACAAAAATATAAAAACGTCTCATTCATTTTAGCGATGAAAAGTCTGCCTTTTAAGTGTACGAATACAAAGCCGATTATCTCCCTTTGCTTGAGGTAAAGCCACGTGACGGCCGGTGAATGACGTCAAGAAGGGATAGAATGATGAAAACGAGTTGCAATGCAAAGGACGGAGAAGAATCACGCCCCGAGCTCACCGATAGGTCTTACAGGAAAACCGCTATACCTACAGTTTTCCCTTCGTGAAATATTACAAGTAAAACTCTCTTACGCTCTTCACATTGCTTGCTGTTGTAGACATGTTATATAGTTTCTTTGTGGACTACGGGGAAATATTTATTTATAATAATGTTTGACTTAGCGACATAAAATTCTCTCTGAGGACAAAGCATGTTTGTCATTCTTTTTCTTCCACTCATTCCATTCCGTCCACGGAATAAGGTGCCGTTATATAAGTACATTTAATTAGAAAAATGCATTATTAAAAACATGGGGTAAATTATTTTTTTTATTAAGAAAGCGTAAAAATATAAAGATTTCAGAAATTAAAATTTAGATTTCTTCCATTTTTCAAAATATACGATTGAAAATGTTAACATTATTTAATTCTCTTTACATCAAACTTGGAATCGAATTGCTAATGTTGTTACTACACTCGGAGTAGAAAATGACTTTATTCGAGTATCTAAATAATTATAAAAGCAATCAACGAAATAATCGCCTATAAAAGATCAGATTGAAAATAACTACCAAAGTAGTTAGTAAGAAAATAATTTTATATGCAAATTGGATGTCTCAATTATGCAAGAACAGTTAAGTTGGAAAAATGTAAGACATGTGCTGGTATAATTAAATAACAAATATTTATTTGTTTAATATCGCGTAAGTTTTTGCTCATATATACATTAGCACAAACATCTTTCCAGGGATGAAGAAATCAAATCCAGGCTTCTCACTGAAACATATTTGCAGAATGCGAAAATTCCGAAATGGATAATTACATATATACATATGATTGAGAGAGATAGATAGATAAATTAGGGTTATGTCTTTTTAACTTTCTGTAAAATATTCTGTAAAACTATCATAATTCGATGAACTTTTAATAAGAAAAATTAATTCAGATTCGTTTTTTAAAAAAAATGTCACACCAAGACAAAATTTCTAAATTGGGAAAAATTTATTGTAATACTATGACTTTCTGGAAGCTTCTCGAATTTGTTTTTGTTTATTTGTAAGTTTGTATATTGTGCTATAGCTATAAACTTTTAAACGCGTTAAAAATACACAAGTAATATCTAATTACATCATTAGCAAATTAAAAATAAATCTTCTGAAATATTTTGATTTTTGTTACCCTTATTGCGTATATGGTAAAATTGAATATACGTTCTGGGGTTGTCTTTTTTTCAAGAACTAAAACAAATTAATGCCTTTTTCATTACTTTTGAATAAAAGTTCATTGATTTATGACGCAGGAACATAGAATTACAAAAAAATAACACTAATATATATATATATATATATATATATATATATATATATATATATATATATATAGATAGATAGATAACCTGACGATCCGTATAGGGAAAACTAGGTAGGTTTACCTGGCTTTTTAGGTTCATTTTAAGTTTGCTCCACTTAGTGTATTGAGCACTTTACTTAGTTACTTTTGCTTTTACTCGTTTGGTCGTTTTTTTCTTTGGACTCTGAGCTTGAATTCTGGACGATTGTTTTTTCGCCTCAATTTCATGTTCTTAGTCCTTTCTTTTTTATCCTTATTTTCCCTTGGGCATTGGTTTGTTCAATTACAAGCCAAAATACCTAAGATTTTTCCAAACGAATATAACTATATATATATATATATATATATATATATATATATATATATATATATATTAGTTGTTACCCATATTTGACTAGCTGCTCTGTTAATTTTCATCTATTGACCTGATTCTTCAAGAAATCCCACTAACAAAAATATGCGTTCTCTGGCAGGATTCGAACATGCGTCCCCCAAGCGGAAACCATCTTTAGGATCTGACGTGGTTTTACCTCTTGGCTACAAAGAATCTGATGGTCAAACAAAGCCCGAATAGTGCTTTTAAACATA